TTTTTTGGTATGGAGAGAGCAGGAGTTTCTGTCAGAACGTGTCAGGACCTGACTGCCCCATTTGAGCGTGACCTGGGTCTTTCGTTTCCCTTTCTGTGGTTCTGTTCCACACGGGCCCCTCCTTCATTTGCTGTCTGTCCTCCTTTAATTTCTCTTTGCCCGTATTTCAGAAGTGTGTGCATCTTGTTGGCAGCTCTTACATCATCAAATGAATGGTTTCCACTTTCCATCTTTGCTCTCTACCATTTTCTGCCAAATTCTCTCCTCCTGCTTTGACAGGAACTCTTGGCAAGGAAGAAAAATAATATGAACTACTTTAGGATCTATGGCATGAATAGTTGACTTCGGACCCTACCTGTTAAAGGTTTTCTGCTTGGCCCTGGTTGTGGTACGCCTTATACCACAATTTCTATACTATCTATACTATACAGTGCATAACCAATACAGAATAATTGATAATAAAACAGTATATAATACATTATCTTAAAAATAAATACAAAAAATATCATTTAATGTGCAGAATAATCTCATTTCTAGGACTTTCCCTGTGGCTTCTACAGCGGATTAGATCAGCAGACATACATTACTAAAGAATATTAACAGCTCTCTAAAAAGGAATCAAACAGAAAAATACCCATTCTTTCTTCTACTCAGTTTCCACCATTGAAAATTAAAATTTCAGACCCCTCTTGGTAACAGAAGTATAATGTGAGCCAGATATAAACCATGCAAAAAGAAAAAGTTGATGTAATTGACTGGAATAATATAGCTTTTTTTAGGCCAACATTTCCAACATATTACTATTATCAATATCCAATAAATATAAAAAATGAATGGAATGCTATTCCTTGCTCATGGATTGGAAAAATTAATATTGTTAAAATGCCCATACAACCCAAAGCAATGTACAGATTCAGTGCAACTCCTATAAAAATTCCAATAGCATTTTTCACAGAAATAGAAATATAATCACCCTAAAATCACCCTAAAATAAAACCACCCTAAAATTTTTATAGAATCATAAAAGGCTCTGACTAGCCAAAGCAATCCTAAGAAAGAACAAAACTGGAGGCTGAGCACTTTCTGATTTCAAATTATATTACAAAGCTATAGTAATCAAAACAGCATATTGGCATAAAAACAGACACATAGATCAGTGGAACAAAACAGCCCAGAAATAAACCCACACCTATATAATCAATTAATTTAAAACAAAGGAGCCAAGAACATATAATGAGGAAAAGACAGTCTCTTTGATAAATGGCTTTGGGAAAATTGGGCATGCCGAAGAATGAAACTGGTTGAACTCAAAATGGCTGAAATATTTGAATATAAGTCCTGACACTGTGAAGCTCCTAGAAGAAAACATAGGTGGTAAGCTCTTTGACATTGGAAGTCCTGACACCGTGAAGCTCCTAGAAGAAAACATAGATGGCAAGCTATTTGACATTGGTTTTGGCACTGAAATTTTGGATCTCAAAGGCAACAATAGCAAAGATTTTGCATCAAATGAAAAAGCTCTGCATAGCAAAGAGTGTCTGTCACCAACAAATGAAAAGGTTACTTACTAAATGGGAGATAGTATTTGCAAATCACATCTGATATAGGGTTAATATGCAAACTATAAAAACTCACACAACTCAATAGCAAAAAACACAAGCAATCCAATTTACAAATGGGCAGAAGATCTGAATAACATGTTTTCAAAGAAATACAGATGGCCAACCGACACACAAAAAGATACTCAACATCACTAATCATCAGCGAAGATGCAAATCAAAAGCACAATGTGATGTCACCTCATACAAGTTAGAATGGCTATTATCAAAAAGACAAGAACTAGGACGTGTTGGTGAGGATGCAGAGAGAACCTCCTGCACTATTAGTGGGAATGTAAATTGGTGCAGCCTCTGTGGAAATCATTACGGAGAATCCTCAAAACATTAAAAATAGAACTCCCATATGAGCCAGCAATTCCACTTCTGGTTATTTATCCAAAGGAAACAAAAACACTAATTAGAAAAGGTATCTGCCACCTCATGTTCATTGCAGCATTTTATACAATAGTCAAGATGTGGAAAACAAACTTAGTGTCTATTGATGGATGAATGGATACAGAAAGTGTATGTATATATATATACACACACTATAGAATATATTTAGCCATAAAAAATAAAATCTTACTACTTGGGATGACATGGATAGACTTTAAGGGCATTATTCTAAGTGAAATAAGTCAGAGAAGGTCAAATACTGTATGATCTCACATGTGGAATTTAAAAAAAGAAGAAAAGAAAAAACAAGCTCAAAGAACAGATTGCTGGTTGCCAGAAGTTGGACTGGTTGGTGGAGGGTGGGCCAAATGGGTGAGTGGTCAAAAAGTACCAACTTCCAGTTATCAAGTAAATAAGTCCTGAGGATGTAATGCACAGCATGAAGTTAGCAATACTATATTGCATGTTCGGAAGTTGCTAAGAGAGTAAATATTAAAAGTTCTCTTCACAAGAAAAGAAACAGTTTTATAACTATGTATGGTGACGAATGTCAACTAGACTTATATGGTGATCATTTTGCAGTATGTACAATTATTGAATCACTATGCTATACACCGGAAGCTAATATATGTCCATTAATCATCTCATTTTTAGACTTTATAAAGCTATCTATTTAGACTATATAAAGCTATCTATTTAGACTATATAAAGCTATCTATTTAGACTATATAAAGCTATCTATTTAGACTATATAAAGCTATCTATTTAAACAGGTTATAATTTGAAAAAGAGAAGAGCAAAAAATGAAGTCAATATCTATTCCAGATACACTTGATTAATTTAATCGTTTTCTGACATATTAGTTGTAGGCCTTTCTAATAGGAAGACACACATTTTTAAATCTCGTATGTGTATAATGAATTGTGACCATTCGAAATAGCTTCATTTTACCTTCTTTTGCATAAGGCAGGCTTTATTGAAGGGAGCTTGGTCTAATTTCGGTGTCAATTCTAGCAGTTACCATTATTTGATCTTGGACAAATTACTTAACTTCTTTAAAAAATGTAATACTACAGATATTATGGTTGCAATGGAGATTGGAAATAGCATAAGAACTAACATAGTCCCTGGCATTTACTTTATAATTAATGTAATAAAAGTTCTCCTTACATCACGAAACCTTCAATAAATTATGAATAGACGATATCAAGATAAAACTTGACAAATGGCTTATTGACATGAGTAGTCTCTGGGAAAATATAATGAAGTAATAGAAATTACTTGTCATCTAATTATTGAGCCAGTGAAAGTATCTTCACACATATCAACTTTCATAATCTTCATAATAATTCTTTAAAAATTATTTCTGTTTAGAAATATCTTATGAAGGACTTTATTTACGCTTCCTTCTCTCTGTGTTTTATTTATGTGGAATGAAAGTCTTTGGGTCAATAATTACTGAACATAAGAATATATCTTTGGATATATTATTATAGGTTTTTCCCTTATTTCCTGTTGACAAGGCATTTTCACCAATACTAAATGGATATTGCTAAGATATAAAGTAAAAATGTATTTTCCCTGAACTATTCTATGATTCAGCTGACTTTTGCCTAACTTAAGAACTCGGGGAGTGAGAGATGGGAGTGACAATCTGATTGTTTGTGTCTGAGGAATTTATTAGCTATGACTACCACTTAAAATTTTATGTTCCTTTATTTTTCATTTTTTCAATGAACTTTATTGCAGTAAGGTTGGTTAATAACATTATATAAATTTCAGGTGGTCAATTCTATAACACATCATCTGTATATTGCATTATATGTTCACTTCCCAAAGCCTAGTCTCCTCCCATCACCATCTATGATCCTTTATTATTATTATTTTGTCTTCTTCTGGAACTCTTACAGCCACAAGTTAAAAATACCCACCGTTGGTCTCTTATGCTTTGTCTTTAGTGGCCTTCTCAATTCTGAGCATGTAAGTGAATTCCGTGGTTACTTATATTTACATTAAAAAATATCAGTCCTAACACTGTTCTAATTGTTTTATTGTTACCAGTAACTTTCTGGAATATCCGTTTTCTGAAAAAAGAAATACGATGCGTGTCAGTAGCATTTTACATTACATTGCTTACAAATCTTAGATGCAGAATTACCATTTAAATTTGAGTTACTCAGGTTTAATTGTTTCCCATTTCATCATCAAATTTTATAACATTCAGACATTATAAGCCAATTTGGTAAGTTGTACCGTTCGTGATCAGTTTTAGAGATACCTTAAAATTTCTGATTTGTAATAAAATATGTTTTTTTATAGATTAATTTTATTGATACAACTCTCTTAAAAATATACATCATTCAGAGGGTTTTTAGAGTCATTAAGGCATTTGTGAAAAAGCGTATTCTGAAACCCCTATTATTTTTACAAAGCATGTTACTATCAAACTTATTTTCTATTTTTTAATCAAAGCTGTAAATACACATATTTTATAGAATCAACTCTTTCTACAAGGTTTGTTGACATAAATTGCATTTACTATTATTGGCATATTACTTGCTCTTTTTAGTCTTTTCTTCTAAGCTCTAACTGATATGGTTTCCAGCCTCCACTTTTTACATTATCTACTGATTTCCCACTGTAGAAGGTAACAGTTTAATTCTCTACTTCGCCACACACACACACACACACACGCACACGCACACGCACACGCACACGCACACGCACACGCACACACTTTCATCCCTGAATACCACTTTCCTCTCAATACAGTTTCATCGAAAATTTGTTATTTCACTATTTAGAGTTTATATTAATGGCTACATAAAAAAGTCAGACTTGACCCATGTACTCAGCTCCGATAATTTCCCTTTCCCGTGAATCTCGAATTTGATTCGCTTTTTCATTTCTCTGTTTCTCCGCACAGTGAGACCAGGGCTCACTGTTTGGCTCCATGTCTGTCTAGCATTTTGAAAAATTCCTGCAGTGAGAAATCCGGGCTGAGGATGTATGTCTCACCTCGTGTGTTTTTCCTTCTCTTAAAATTCATAGCCTTCTCTTAAAATCTATACCATAGTCCAGTGCTTTTAAATGTGTTTTTATACATTTTGCCCCATTTTGATCATTGTTTACAGCAGTTGGGTAAGTCCAATACCAGTTTTTGTCATCTACTTCAGCCACTCCCTAATGAATCAGAAAAGAATTCTCCCTTTAACTTTATACCTTCTTTCCTGCTACTCTTCTGGTCTAGATTACCATCGTCTCTTCTCTGGATTTCTACGCTAGCTTTCAGCTCAGATGTCCAGTTCCAGCACATGCTCTGCATTAAAGAGGTGTTGTAGAAACACGATTTATATTATGTCACTCTCCAAGTGAAAACTTTTTAATAGCGTCTCAAACTTCGAATAAATATTTGAACTCCTTACAATGACCTATAAAACTTGGGATGATGTAAGCCTACTAAATGGTTGTCTCCACTCTTCCCTGTTCCTTCTTTATGCTTCAGCAGCATGGATTTTTTTTTTTTTTAATTTCCTGAAACTGCAGAGTTCTACCCTTAGCTTTGCTTTAGCCCCATCTATTTTTTTATGGCTCCAACTTATGTTCATCATTCTTCCCCTGATTTCTTTCTCTTGTTTTAGGTAACAGCTTAAATGTTACTTCCTCAGTGGGCATTCCCCGAGCACCGAGAACTTGACCCTTAATCTCACAGCACCTGCCGTTTTAGTTCATGTCTCAAACCAAAATACAACATCCTACTTGTTGTATTAGACAAGTACATACTTTTGTCTAATATCCATATTTGCTACCAGACGGAAACATCATGAGGCTAAGGATTGTGTCTTTATTTTTAATTTACCGCTCTGTGCCTAGTGCTCTACGTGATATGTGGTAATATAATAGGTGTGAAATAGATGTCCACTGAATTTATAAAGAAATAAAGGAGTTGTAAAAATCAACATTTGGAGGCTTAATAGAGAATTGAAATTTGCAAATAATCTTAGAGAACTAGAACTGGAAGAAACTATAAAGATCACGAATCCAATCATCACATGGTTGTAATAATCCCTCTGATAGCATCAGCTGCACTTAAATCGTTCCAGTGTTAGGGAACTCACTATTTCACGAGGAAGTCTATTCTATTTTCAGACACTTTCTATTTAAAATTATCGTTCTTATATTGGATTGTTTTACTTAGAATCATATGGCAATAGTTCTCTCGCTTTCCCAAAAGAATTCTGAAAACAGTGATACATACATTTTCTTTCCTTTTGTGATTCCTTCTGAAATTAAACCCCTCAAAGATATAATTAAAAATGAAAATTATTCTTACATTTTATTGAATGGTAAAGAATGACATTCCATTTTGGAATGCTTCGTCATCATTGGAATTCTTTAAGCTACATATTGGATCAATTTCTTTATCCCTGTACACATTAAATACCCATATTTGCATGCACCACGAATATGAAATTCTGATTTTCAGCCAAATGAAAATAATAGATTAAAAAGACAAATTTATATAAACAAGCCTTCTATTTT